CCCCAAAACCCCAAAACCCCAAAACCCCAAAACCCCAAAACCCCAAAACCCCAAAACCCCATGTTTTTCAAATAATAATTTAAATCAATTAACGGATGAATCTGAGGCATAATATGACTGATCATTCATTTTCTGCAAACCAGTTATCGCAGTGCTTTACTACTAGAAACAGAAACAAATCTTCCGATGATGAAAATAGGAGAAATTGTTCGTTAAGTGAAAGACAAAATATTCGGTCAAAAATTGATGCAGTCATAAAATAAATACAAAATCGATATTCCCTCTAGACAAAATACAGCTTGTAAGGAAATCTCGGGTTCCAGACTAGAGAATGAAAGTACATGAGAGCATCGTGTTAGGAATAAATCCTCAAGGAGATCAAGCAGGGTTGATCTAGATCAAAAATGAACTTTTTATAATAAATTAGAACGGGAAAATATAAGAGTTAATAGTCCCAGACAGATATCTCCTAACTGCTATAAGAGGGATGATAAACCTGAGGCTAAGATGTCCGATCTGGCTGATAGGATAGATAAAGTCAACCTTACAATGACCAATAACTTTGAAAGTTTGTTTAAAATAGTTGTCAACATCACAACTATGCTGAGAGATTTATCTGCAGAAGTGAGTCAGGTCAAATCTAGTCTGGACCAGTGCCAGACTAATATCACTTTTACCCAAGATAACAGGGAACGATTCGGGTCGTTTCACAAACAGGATAGTGGAAACAAGGAGAAATCACAAGCTACTATTCCTATTGCAGCTAAGGTGGCTCCTGATGAAGAGCTATCTGATCTCTGGAATCTCCCCAGAAACGTTAAAACGAAAGCACCTCAGAAGGAAGAGAGTGACTCTGATGATAGAATCAAACCTTCTTGCAACTTTGATTATGAAAAACATCTAAGAGAGATCAGTTCGATTACTAGTGTGTTTAACTTGTCCCAGACTTTAGAGAAGAACCAAGAGGTTTCAAGATCTTCCCGTTTTGAAAATCCCTATAATACGGAAGGCATTGAAGCTAAATTGGAAAACCTTAAACAAATACCTACTGAGAGCCCTGAGACATCAGAGTTAAAGGTCCAGTCAGAAAGGATCAAGAGCTCGCTTTCGGCATATCTCGAAGATAGGGATCGAAAGAAAGGGATGTTTGCTCGTTCCTCTCAGAAGCAAAGTGAATGCTCTAGTCCTAAATTCATGAATTTCCTTAACGATGATCCTAAGATTGTTGGAGCCAAGGAGAGTACGCTCTCCAGTATCCCTTCTGAGTTTGGTGATAATGAGAATAATCTTTGTAACAATACTGCTTTGAGAAGATCACGAGTCCGATCAAAGACATCGTGTAAGGAAAGAGAAGCCCAAGTTGAGGAAAAGATTATTAAAAGTTTTTCTGGATTCAATTAAGAAATAATAGCTTGGGGTTTTGGGGTTTTGGGGTTTTGGGGTTTTGGGGTTTTGGGG